CATGAATCTTATGCTAAGTTTAATCGTATTAACGTATCGTCAAGAAATTATACTTGCCGATTTAATAAAGTCTTGAAAAGTTACGAGTCCAATGTAAGAACGATAATTTTGAATTTGTTGCAAAAGAATGAACACACTTTTATTATAGCAAAAAAGATCGGCACGAATTTTACGATCAACTCGACGATACCAAATGCAATAAGGTTCTTTTTTTTTTTTTTTTGATCATTTGATACAATTCGTATTATGCAATTTTGAAAAGTATTTTCGAAAAATTTTGTTGTACGATAAATATAGTAGGAAAACAGAGCAAAGAGAGATAGATAGAGATAGAGATAGAGATAGAAAAGAACGGGGTTGAAGAATGAAGAGGGAAGAGAAGGGTAGAGAGAAGTTGGGGTGGGATGGTTTAAAGGGTGGAACATACACAGGGACACTTCGTAGAGAAAGATCGAGCCAGCGAGGAACGTCTTCGAATCTGGGTCACGTACATTCTGGCCACAGTGAAACGAACACGATGATAGTGATCTAATGCTAAGGGATGGATACCTTTAACCGCATGCCCGATCGAGAACTGATTTTTCAAAAGTGGATTTTAGAAATCCTAAATCTATTTTCTCGTTTCGAGTTCTTGCGATATCTCTTTGTTCCAATTTTAAATTGTATTTTTCTTATATATATAATAATATATATATTATATATAAATATGTGTGTGTGTGTGTGTGTGTGTGTGTGTGGTTAGGATTATTTACAGGAACGAACAAAAGATAAGGATGAGGGATGAAATGTTTGATACAGTTTTTTAATGACGATCAATTTGTTGTATTCGAGATTGTTGTTGTTGTCGTTGTTAAATTAAAAGTTTTTCTTTCGATATAAACGGGGGATAGTAAAAAAAACGCGCGTTACGATTTTATTCTACGAACAACGTAAAATCGATCGGCCTTCGACACCCTCTCGCGTCGAGATCATTGCGCCCTCGCTTCGTTTTACGAGAACGAACGTGCTTGAAGGTAGAAAACCGAAAGAGAGAGAGAGAGAGAGAAAGAGAAAGAGAGAAAGAATGAAAGACAGAAAGATGAGAGAAATAGAGTGGATGAGTGTGTGAGTGAGCGAGCGATTGTATAAAATGTTGCGAAAATAATCGAAAAGAAAAATATATAATACCAAAATTAAGAACACACGTAATGACCTTAAATATGATAACAATAAAAAATTAATCGACGAAATTTAAACACACAGCGATCGACAAAAGTTTGAAGATAAATCACATATAGAATTATTAAAAAAAAAAAAATTGAATTAGTAAAAAAAGATAAAATATTTAAAACAAAATAAAAAAAAATATATATATATGATGTGAAACGCGTCGCTTTGATTTTTCGACTTTTAATCGTCTGTTTTGTTATTTATTTTTTAGGTTTCATAATATGCCGTCAAATTATAAGCGGTACGGCCACTACAACTTATACTTTATATATACTCCTACTTTATCACGTATCACGCATTCTCTCACATACACATACACATACATACATACATACACACACAAAAGTTCTTGCATCCTTTTCTTTCACCCGCTAGGTTTATAATAATAATAATAATAATAATAATACTAATAATAATTCATATATATATATATATAATACCTAATACAATAGCCTTGTCGCGTAGATGAGTCATTTTTTATTCTTTTGTTGAACATTTTTTTCCTCATAATTTTTTTCTTTACCTTTTTATTCCATTGAAAAACAAATCGTACGATTAACGAGAGCAAAGTACAAACTTTGTTTTTTATTTAACAATATAGAAATAACACACGTACATATATATATTAATATACAAATAATTGAATATACATTTATTACACAAAAAAAAACACACACACACATATACACACATTGGACGCGTTTTTATTCGTAGATGCAAATTTGTGACTGAACGATCGACTGATTGCATGATAAAGTTTACAATGTATGTATGTGTATATATATATATATATAAACATAAATGTGTGTATTTATATACACATAAGTACATGTAATATATAGAAACATTTGCACCTATTTGTTACACAAGAATCTCGCATACCTTTCGTGCGACCTCGTAGATTTTGAACAAACATGTCACGATTCTCATTAACAATCAAAATATTCGTTTACACGTTATACACATCATATTCTAATTGAATAGGTGCGAATGTAATTTAGAGGGACGTGAGAACCCACTTTAGGCACTTTCTTAGACATTCACCCTGCCATACGCTTGTTTGCATAATTTTCCTTTTTTCGTTTCTCTTTCTTTTTTCTTTTCCTTTTTCTTTCTTCTTTATTTCTTATATATAAAAATGAAATTATATATAAGAATCATTGACATATTTCTATTTATTATAATTAGACTCGAATTAGTTATAATTCTCATTTAAGACGAGAAAATAAATTAAAATAAAGATAGATATAGATAGATAGATAAATAAATAAATAAATAAGTAGGTAGAAAAATATATAGAATATAGATAGCAAGAGAAAAACAAAAAAAAAACAAGAAGAAAAAAGAAAAAGTATTTATAACAAATGCGAAGAAATAATGAATCAAATTGTATCGGATTGCATAATAGTTGACAGCGTATAATACGTTTCAAGTATATATGAAAAACGAGAAGAAAGAAGAAAAAAGAAATATAAAAGATATTAACGACAATAATAATAATAATAATAATAATAATAAACAAAGAAAAAAGATAAGGTAAAGCAAAAATTAAAAAGAAAAGAGTTTGGCTTCTAGAAAACGTTTACTTAGTGCAATTGCAATGCCAGACGGGCAGGAATGTTTTCAGTAGTGTCTTTCGTATACGTAAAATCCTTCCAAAACCGCAGTTTGGGCAACGTCCAGTTTCCTGGCTCCGTGTTTCTGATGCTGCTGGGTGCATACACACAACCCCCGTCATAACGTTCGTGGTATAAACGTTAAAAGAGAATAAGAGAGTTGGCTGGGAAGAGGAGGAGGAGGAGGAGACGAAACGTGAACGTGGTTTTCGGTGCCAGAAGCCGGCTGGGTCCACGGATGATTCCAAGTTTCTTTCGTTTCTTTCGTTTCCTTTTTATTATTTCTAACGCGTGAACGTATACCGAGGAAAAAAAAACTTGGCTCGCTCGCGTATTTCTCTTTTGTTTATACGACTCCCGAATTCGTTTTCTTCAACGATACGTATAGTACGATATGTATAGTTAGTTCGATATATTGTTTATTATAGGGTGTCTCGATTTATTTATGATATATTCATTACAAAAATAAATAAATTCAAAGTGAAAAATTCATTGGCTATGAGATATTAAAGTCAAATTTAATTCGATTAAATGTTAATTAATATTTAATAGATTTTTGTTTAAGTTAAAACATTAATTTGTGTGTATAGAGAACAAAAAATTATTATAATTTTGATTTCTTTGACAATAATACCCCTATGAAATAAATGTGATAGATATTTTATCATAAGAATATAATAATTTGGATTTAAAATATTTATTTATGAAACCGATAGGATTGGAAATATTATATTTGGTTATATCGTTTAAATGGAAACACCTTGTATATATTTTGATGTATATAAAATTCGTGGCGTTCGATTTTGCTTCTTGGCAACAAACTGACTGTCCTTGCGATCGAGTAATACTAGTTGAGAAAACGTCGAATGTGTCTCGCCATGTTCTATGTATCGCACATTTCATTCTATGTGTATATATATATATATACATAGACACCATGTAAAATATATAAAAGAAATGGTCTGGCAAGAAACTCGCAATACCTTCTAGTATCGTGCCAATTGTCGAAACGGAAGAAGCAAGGTTTCCTTACATTTTTTAAATTGATCTCTATCATTCCTTAACTTTTCTTTTTTTCTTTTTCTATAGTAATTCCCAGTAGTTTTATTCTATCGAAGTAATTTTCATATTGTTATTTTTTCACATGTCTTCTAAAAAATCTTAATTTTCTAACCATACTTATACTCGTTTCTGTCTTTGATAATTAAATAATTGATAAATTGATTAATTAATTAAAATTAAAAAAAGTTACACAAAATTTTCTTATAGAAATATCGTACTATTCTATTCGATTTTTTGTTTGTATTTTTATAATAATAAATTCTTCTTCCGAAGAGTGTGTTAGAAAACGATCGCGTTGTGTTCGCCACGTGTAAGTAGAATATATGCGATTATGGTCAGACACGTAAGTGTGACGTAATCCCAATCGAATTAAACATCAGCCCTGAGGTTCGTTCTCAACGAATTACAACTTGCTTCGCAAGTTTTCTTTTTTCTTCTTCTCTTACGTATTCTCTCGTCTCGTACAATTTCTTTTTTCTTCTCTTTTATCCCTTCGGATTGTTTTTTGATTTGTATTTATCAACAATATCGAAAGATTCAACTATGACAATCGAATAAAAAAATTCATTGACGGATTTAAGCTTCTTAAACGAAAACCTTTCGCGACACACAATATCGTGTCAGATTAATATTTATCATACAATTTGTTGTAATTATTTTTTCAACAAACATTTATCTACAAGTATCGAGTTAATATTGTTATAAATAAAATAGCTTCAATATGATTTGATGTGTTGAATTATCGTGTATGGGGGAAAAAGATCAGAGAGAATTGGATTTCGTAAATCCGTCAGTGAATTTGGTAACTCTAATAAAGAAAGAAAAAATGAAAAGAAAAAAAAAGTAAGCGGTTAAGGAGGGTGGGAGGGGGGTGGGGCAGAGATTAGGCGATGCTGGGACCATTAGTCGAATGAATGGAAACTTGACTTTCTTTTTCTCTCGCAATCTTCTTTNGGTGGGAGGGGGGTGGGGTGGGGTGGGGTTCATCATCCCAGCTGCATGCATTGCCAAAGTTAGCCAACGCGAGATATCACAGCACTCGCCTCATTTAGCATGTAAGCGACACAGCGCTCACTAATCGACGAAAAACATGAACGCATGCTGGAGCAGCCACTATTCTAGCCCCCCGCCGGAAAGAGAGCTGTGTGTCGATGGTGAACATCGGAGTCGAAGGGACATGTCACCTCAAGGTCGTAAAAGAGCTGCCCTTATGGTGTCCCGTGATCATCCCGCGTCCATCTCTGGCTATCAAACTTATCGCAAGGTAAATTTATATTATTTTATATTTACCCCAAATTGTGTGTATGAAAAAGAACTTGACACGTCAGATATATAAATTATTTTTTCTTTTTTTTTTTATATGCAAGATAAAATATTTTTATATTTCTCCGAACGTTATAAAATATCAGGGATTCTCGCGTGTGCATTTGTAAAATAATTCTAAACATTTGAAATTAATTTGCAATACACTTTTATCTTTTTAAACTAATTAACCATGAAAAGACCCCGTACGAAAGACCCGACCCATATAAAGGGTTGCATTATATACTTACTTCAAAGCGTGCAGTAACGAAATAGTTAATTGAGAATTGATTGCAAAAGTTAATAGATATTTCGAAAGCCAAAGTTTTCGGAGAAAATCATACTAGATGGTTTTAGTTGAGTATGTGGTTTAAACGTTGATAACGTTTCGGTGTCCCACGTGTAAAAGAGAACTGACGAATAAATAGTGATATCTGGGGTGTCAGAAAGTTGATCATAAATATTATTAGGTTGTTGTTGTTGTTGTTGGTGAAAATCCGTAAAGTTAGTTTGTTACATTGGTTTAGTTTAACGTTCTGCGAAACTTTCCTAGGACGATATTCATCGTGGAATGATGGGTCACAGATCTCACAGCGCGGCACCAATGGACTCACCTAGCGTACGTTACCGTGGCCGATCCCAAAGTCCCACCGGTCATCGTTCTTTATCTCCACCCGAACACAGATCCATGCCTTATTCGCACAGTTACATGCCGAGGTAAGAAATAACTTTAATTTAACTCGATACTAATATTTCCAACTTGAATAACCGACTGGGAGAAAGAAAATCACTAAAAATCTTCTTTCCATTTTATTTTCTTTCAAATAAAAATAATACAAACTCAAGAGTAACAGGAACTATTTGTTTGTTTCGATGATTTATAACGACAATGGCTACTTGTATTTTATTTACGCGATAAATACAAAAAAAAAACATTATTACTTATTTCACATGATAATCTGTGAATTTATTTTGTTGAATGTTCACGCGTGATAGATACCTCGATGATTCTAATTAAGAATATAATTGTTAAATGATAAATCGTTAATTAATTAATTTTGTTAGATTCGGTTCTAGATCGGCAACAGCCACACCTACCGGTTCGCCAAAGAAGCGTCAGCTTCCACAAATCCCAGCAGCCTTGAAGGACAGAGTAACGCACGATTTTGAAGATAGAGCAAAGTTTATGAGGCATCGTAATAGACCAGGACACACAACTTATAGGAGTACAGGAATGGGAGGTTAGTTTTTTCTTTTTTTTTTTAATCAAACACGTTTTCACAGAACTAGGAGTTAAAAACGAATGTACTTTTAGGCTGGGAAAGACACTACAGTGGTCTTTCAGATTCGGATCTACCATCGATGGGACATGATCCTTTATCGTTACCGCACAGTAATGCTCACAGACTGCACAGACCACGAAGGGGGCATTTAAGTCCGGACAAAGATGTGCTTGGTGACCTTGGGGACTCCGACATGGAGAGCATAGCATCAGTAACGAGCAGTGCCTTCAGTACGCAATCGGAACGACCACGTGGATCGAGGGGATTAATGTGAGTATAGTTCAATGATTATTTTAACGAGTCAATAAAAAGAAAATAAACATATAACGAAAAGAAATTGATAAGAAAAAGAAAAACAAAAAGAATAAAAAAAAAAATAGAAAAAAAAATAGAAAAAAAGTAAAGTATCGTATCATCTGAGGTCGATGACCTTCATGCGTATTCGCAAATAACTGTACAAAGCAAAGCAAAATCCATAGTTCATATTAAGACAATTATCCTATTAATTAAGAGGAAGTATGGCCAACGACGGTTCCGACTCGCTTCTTCTTCTTCTTCTTTTTTTTTTCTTTCTTTCTTTTTTTTTTTTCATTCCTTTTTATCATCGTTTATTTGAAACGAGCTTTGTTTTCCAAAATTTTCTGCGATGTCAAAAAATGTCGCAAAGCGTTTTGCAAGCGTTCGCTGCATGGAAATCCGAGATAACCGATATTATTATTATTATTATTATTATTATTATTATTATTATTATTATTAAATGTGACAAGTAAAAATATTATATTAAACGATAGATGAAAATGAGTTGGAAAAAAAAGAAAAAAAAACAAAAGGGGCGGAACGATCGGTGGTTTTAGCCTGTTATTCGATGGAAAAAAATCCCTGAAATTAAATGGACATTGTCGAATGAATGGACACCACCCCGATAGTCGCACCATTTATTATTCGTCCCTCCTGCTTGCTTTTTGTTTAGATGAAAACATTAGTAATCCTTATCGCGCTCTTATATGTTTATCTATTTCTTAATCTTTTCTCTAAACGATATGTTTAACTCGTAGTTATTAATTTAGGCTGCACCTCCTATGCACATTGCCAATGTCCATTTAATGATGCCCCATTCTGAGAAAAAAAAATTAGGGATCAGTGCGTGGCGTTGGTCGAACGGTTAGGTTCTATGTGGGACACGATGAGACGCGCGTGACGAACATTAAAAAACCAAAACGAAAAACAAATAATTACAAACAAAAAAAAGGAAAATAAAAAAAAAAAGAAGAACACGACACCAAAATGACAAAAATAAATATAAAAAAAACTAATCAAATCGAATCGATCTAAAGTAAAAGCACAAATTCGTCGAAGGTTTCGGAGTATGCGCGCGGATGAGATTGAAAGAAAAAAAAAAAAGAAAACAGAAAAGCAATGTCTAATAAATAAGATACGCCCGGCGCCATTGTTTCCCCCGGCAAAAGGAGAAGAAAACTCTCTCGTTCGATCGATCGCGAACGTGCGGTAAAAAAGTGAAATAATAATTAAGAAAAAAATAAAAAGTATATATATATAAAAATTAAAAGATACACATAAATATATATATATAAGAATAACGATGATAGAAAAGAAAATAGAAAAGATAAATAAAGAAAAATGTAATTTATATATGAAGAATGGGCTCACACCATGGTAATGTTTCCGCAGGAGCGCTAAAACTCTCTATATAAAAAACATTGTTTGCAGACCGACAGTTAAAAACGTTTTAATACCCGGTGTCATATTCCCCTTGCCCCCGCCCCCTAGGCGCAATAGGCGCAGGCACAGACTTAGGGTTCCCTGCAGCGAATGTCACTGCCCCCCGAACATGAATCCCTCCAAGCCGCCCAGGAGCAAAAACCCCTCGAAGCACAATCCCGTCCCACATCCTCTCGTACGGAGCAAGTCCGCAGTGGTACGCTCGTTGTACAGAAAGATGCGTACGCCGTTCACGAGATCGCAGACCGTCGACGAGAACATGCTGAGATATTACAGCCCGGAGACCAGCGAGTACAGCGTCTCCGAGGGTTACATACTCAAGCCGGAAGAGCTGACCGGTAGCTCGAAGAATCGTATACCGGAGATATACGTCGAGGACTGCCTGCAGGTCGACTTCAACGATCGTTTCGTCGAGAAGTTTCGCGCCAACAACTCCTCCTCGTCGGCGTACCGCTTGGAGTCCGGTTTGCGTAGACGCTCGCGTAGCTGGCAGGATCGTACTAGCACAACGAGCAGTGCTAAGTCGAGGCCGCGAAACGCCAAGATTACGAGACTGTTCCAGCAATCACCGATGATACTCTTAACCTCGAGCGTTTTAGCCCACCAACAGCATAAGCAACAGCAGCAACGACAGCAGCAGCAACAGCAACAGCAGCAGCAGCAGCAGCAGCAGTTGCAGAAGCAGCAGCAGCAGCAGCAGTTGCAGTTGCAGCCGCAGTCGCAGCAGCAGCAGCAACAGCAGCAACTAGCCACTGCCGCCGCAACCGCCGTCGCAGCTGATAATAAAAAAAGTTACGACATTAGGAACGTAGATTTTAGCTTACGCCCGCGTAGGTCTTTTTTGTTTTCCAAGGCTAGAAGCTTCGATTACGATGTGATACATGATCCGTTCAGCGATCGATTTGGTACCACTAGGCTACGGGACACCGGCCTGTTGTCGCGCCGAGCCAAGAGTTTCGAGTACGAGACCATTTCAAGCAACATATTCAGCGACGACAGTCTCAGAACGGCGAGGAGGAAGTTGAAGAGAAATCTTTCTCTGAGCGACGCCGGTTACGGCGACAAGATACCGGCTCTGGGGGACCAGAGCAAGTCCTACTACGATTCGAACGGCGACGATAAGCCGCCAAAGAGTTTGCTGAACAAGGAGCCCAATTACGATTACCTCACGAGCCAAGATCACAAGCCATTTTACGGTTACGATTCGGAGCTCAGCGCGGGCGAGACAGAGATTTACGTGCCGAGCTTCGACAGCAAACGGGCCACGAGGACGAGCATCATCGAGGACTATCACCATCGACCTTACCCACCCCTAAATCCGCGCCGTCTTACCACCGCCACGACGCTCGCCACGACGCTCACCGACGACCTAAGATCCACCTTTGGCCGCGAGGACACTACCAAGAGGAAATACGTCGAGTCCTCCTCTTATCAGGATCACGATGCCACCACCTTCAACGCGCACATATCCGCCGAGAAGAGAACGAAAAATCTCAATGATCCGGACCTTTGCGATCCCCTCAACGATCATGTGTATTACAGCATAGACGAGGCCGTGTCTTCTTCGGACAATTGTTACAATGGCACCCGGAGCGACGACGAGTACGACCGGCAAACGAGAAGACTCGCTGCCATAGCTTCTTCCCTTCCGCCACGCAGACGAACAAAAAGCACCGACTCCTATCTCGGGGACGATTACGACCGTTACGAGAATTGGGAGGTCGATTACGACGACGAGGACGAGGGTTTCATCGATCGTCGTAATCACGAGGATTACGATGACGACGAAGACGACCGCGACGACGATGACCGCGACGACGACGACCGCGACGACGACGACCGCGACGAGGAGGACGAGGACCACCTCGTTGACGTCGGACGATACGGTTACGAGAACGACCTGGACGATATGACGAGGACTGCGACCCAGACGATGACGACGAACATGACCGGTAATACGAACGCGACGACGACGACCACGACCAATTTGCGTAATACCGACCGTTCCATTTATCGTCGTCACCAGGACGATTACTATCGCGACGAACGTTCCCCACGAATAGCCGCTTCGAGAAACGCACACTTTGACGATAGGACTTTTATCGTCGACGACGATTACAACGGTTATCGTAGTGCCGACGACTACGATTATCACCGGACGATAAGAACGCACACGAACGGCCTCGAGAACGATAAGATTTACAACCACAACAACACATTTCCCAGAAGACGTAGGAGAAGAAGCAGCAGACGAGGTAGCAGAGGTGATCCCAATTTGGCAGTAGCTTATGAAAACGTGAGATCCTTTAACGGCAGGGATCACCTCGTCATGCCACCTACGACGAAGGATAGCTTGACCGTACCGAGTTTTTCCGAGAGCAAGAGGAGGATGATGATGATCCAACGTGCCGAGTCAACCCCGATCTTGCATTCCGACGAGGATCCGAGCACGTGTCCCGCGGCGTTAGATGCGAGAAACCGACGTCTCTATCGTCGCAGACGCAACAGCAGTTGTCCCGAGGTAAAGGAATATTTTCGCTCTAGCGAGCCCTTTCGACGTGGTAATTACAAGGATGAGGATAGAGGAAGGTCGAACTTTATGCTGGACTCCGAGGAGGAGTTTGGCTCGATGGAGACGGTCGTCGGTGCCGATTACTTTAGGCGGAAAAACGAGTTGGAGGTTCGCGAGGATGGTGGTGGTGGTGGTGGTGGTGGTAGTGGTGGTGGGGGTGGTAGTAGTGGTGGTGGTGGTGGTGCTGGTGGTGGTGGTGGTAGTAGAGGTGGTGGTGTAGTCCTTGTAGGCGAAGACCGATTAGGATCGGTTAGATCAGATTACTACGACGAGGAACCGCCGGTAGTCTCCTCGAGGTACGATCTCCTGTCGGATTACGAGTGTCGCGAATGTAACGAGGCTGCCGCAGCTCGCGAATTCGTTAGGTCAGGGTCGCTACGTTCCTCGAGCACGCACGAATCGCGTTATCAAAATTGGTCGTCCTCGACGCGCGGTAGTATTAGACGAAAGAGTAGCTGTCCGGAGTGCCGTGAGCTGGCGCTGTCCTCTTCCGGTGGCGATTTAGACGGCGTTGGTAGGTCGCGTAGGAGCGATGAGAGGAGGTCGTTAGTCGAGGCGAGGCAAAGGTATCGTAGGCGAAACAGCAGCTGCCCCGAGGCTAGGGAACTCGAGCTTATAGAGAAGAGGCAGCAACAGCCGCAGCAGGACGGCCGGCACCAGCCTTCGCGTCAGCCCTCGCGTCAACCTTCGCGTCAGCCCTTGCGTCAGCCCTCGGCGATGCACGCTTCTTCCCAGACCCAACAACGCGCTCAGCAACAACAACAGCAACCGAAACAGCAACAGCAACCGCAAACGCAGCCGCAACAACAACAACAATCGCAACCGCAACCGCAACAACAACAACAACCGAGTAGTAAGAGGAACGTGGCGATAAGCGACACCCTCGAGTATTACGAGTACTCGATGGAAAGCGAGAGCCAGTGCAGCGAGAACTGCGGATTTGGCCCGTGCGATCCGCGTAGGCCCCGTAACCGAGCACCCCGCCCCGGTAACGCTAATTCAAGTCTCTTTGATTCCCAAACCGCTACCTCCGACACTGCTAAAAACTACCACCCACGGGCCGACGATCATCAACACGAAAACCCACGTACGATCGCGAAACCGACATCGACGCAATACCACCAACAACAATATCAACAACAACAACAACAACAACAACATCAACATCAACAACATCAACAACTACAACAACATCAACAACATCAACAACATCAACCACATCATCGACATCATCAACATCGTCAAACGAACCACGAACCACGATCGTCGTCGTCGTCGTCGCCGCCGCCGCCGCCGCCACTCCCGCACCCGCACCCGCACCCGCCGCCGTCGTTGTCGTCGTCGTCGTCGTGTCAATGCTGCGCCCATCCTCCTCCCTTCATTCACAATAATAATACCGTTGACTACGTCGCCGCTAACAATTACTATCCCTCTAATCGTCGCCACGACCACGACAATGATTTCCCAATGACTTCCCATCGACGTACCGCCCACCATCGGAAAATATTAACTTATCACGACGCCGGCGGCGACGCCGACGGTACCGTTAACGTCATCATCGACGATGGTGACGTTCTCGACGGTGATGTTGTTGATCATCGACGACGACGTTACGACGACGACGACCTGCGGGATCGTCGCTCCTCCTCCATGCCCGAAAGCAGCGAGTACTCCGGCCAGTCGGGCTCGTACGAAAAACCAACGAGGCATCAGACGACCGACAATGGCCACGACGAACAACATACAGGAAAACGGGGCCAATTTATTAGGAGTCTCAGTAACACGGACGCGCCGCCCGATGAGAAAGTTGGTGAGTTATCATCCAGATATTTGTTTCGCGTTTATCATATCTTCACTCGAATTTCTTAAGATTTATATTCCTCAACTCGACACCTTTTTTTACTTTTACATTTCATTACTTTCATTATTATTATACTCGATCCTATCAAGGATGCACAATTAATTTGTATCCCATCCTATGCAAGGGGTTATTCAAATTCCTTAATTCCTGTTAGAAGAGGGTTCTGTTATTGTATTTGCGAATGGATCGAATCTCAACTTCCATTATCCTTTGAGAAAGTGTTCTTTTTTTAATTTTTTAAATCGCTTACATTTTCAGCTAGATCATTCTCTCCCTCTCTTTCTCTCTCATCGGTCGAAGAACCGCGAACGTGACTCTTCTTCCCTTTTATATACATGTACAAGTATACATGTATAGCTCCGGCATGCGGACTTTGCTTGGAGAGAGCTTAGTCACGAATTCCATTTCCCTCTTTCTCTTTCTCTTTCTCTTTCTCTTTCTCTTTCTCTTTCTCTCTTGATACTTTCATCGATCGCAATAAAAGATGGAAGGGGAAGATGCTCTACGTTCCTAGCAGTCCTTTGACTATACAACGTTCTTTCGTTGGCCGTCGCCCAAAATTACCTTTCCAAGGTCTCCCAAAGGCCTCCTGCCATTCGAGACAAAAAAAAAAGACAATTTTTTCTACGATTATTCTCTTTTATTTCTTCTTCTTCTTCTTCTTTCCCTCTCTCTCTCTCTCTTTTGTGGCCCCCATTATTTTCATTATTTTCTTCAAGATCGAAGTTACGTGATTAGAATGTATCAATAAAAATAATTTATTCCTCTGTTAATACACGTTCATCGGGACAGAAATAATTATCTAAATTCGTTCTTTTTGATTATCATTCATTAGTTTTATTTTTCCGTAATACTATCCGTCTAATCAGACTGTTCGAACGAATAGAAAAAGTTTCGATTCGGGTGGTCTGAAAGTTAAACCTATTATTGGATAAATTTGGTGTACTAATTCCAAAAATAACAATGCTTTCGCCATATTAGTTCTAGTTCTCTATATACGGGACGTAAATGTGCTCTGAAATAATATTATTCTAATATTAGATTGATTTAATTATATATATATATATAATAGTATGTAATAATTACAGAGATCAATATCATTTTAATCGTATAATTAATATCCTCATATAATTAAAAATAATCCCAATAATATTCTATATATTATTCGCATACAAAATAATATAATTTATTTCAAACATTTATTATATTATCGTCAAATAATTGCAAATATATAAATGGACAGTACTCGAAGTAAAAATATTTTCTTACGTTGTTCCGGATTTTTGAGCAACCCCCCAAAAAAAGAAAAGTCCCAATTAATCTTCCTCCTTCCTCTTTTTGTTCTTTTTCTTTTTTCATATTTTTGACACGGGGATAAAGGGGTAGGTAGGGTAAGAGAAAAAAGAATGAGGAAAGCGCAGCTTTATCAAAGATTTTTTTCGCAGATGGGAGTTTGAGCGACACGGCCGTCAGTCACGTGGATGATGCCTCGAGGAGGGATCGTAAGAGTTCACCGGGTAGTAAAAGTGGAAGCGGAAGTAGCAGCGGCGGCGGAAGCGCCGTACAGTATCAGACCGGGCTTGGAAAGAAGAGTAACAGCACGAGTCAGCTATCCGCGACAGGTAACACATCGTCACGCTGTCCATTATCTCTCTTTGTCGATATAATATTATTATTATTATACAATATTATTTTACGTATTTTCGAAATCTTAACTATATACGGTAAACGAATGAATAATACAACGAAAAACGCGATACCTTTTTTCCGACATTCCGCCCACAATTCACTTTTCGCGCGTCAACATAATAATTAATTATTAATCGATTCAATTAATTCATACAACAAAAATTTAACATGCACAAAAAGAGAACACACCAAAAAAAAAAAAAAAAGATAAAAAAGGCAATACCAGGAAAAGGAAACGAACAAACAAACAAACGAACAAACAAAAAAGAAAAGAAAAGAAAATACGAAACAAAATGGATACCGTTGAGAAAGCGAAGCGCGAATTTTCGTCCTGTAATCTAGGAAAACAAAAAAAACAAAAAAGGAAAAAGATAAGATCGGTTATACTCTCATAATAATTTTCTCTCTCTGTATATATATATATACATATATATATACATTTTTTTTCTCTTTTTAATCGCCTATTCAACTTTGTTACTAACGTACGAATATATACACCTGGTATGATACTTCTAACCCTTTCGTTACATTATCCTTACGCTAATATCTTTTCGGATAAACTCGCTCGTACACTTGTCGAGGACCCCTGTATGGGTCGCGATCGTTTATACGGGGCCTTTGTATGGATGACCGGACCCATATAAGGGTCCATCGTACATAAGGGTTTCTTTACATGAACGATCCGTATATGGGTCTCTAGTAATGAAAGGGAAATGAATACTTTGTATATATATATATATATACATATACATTAACACATACATAAATAACGTATGTCGTATGTATATATTTGTATATTCGCACTTTTTTCTACGTGATATACCATAGATATCATCTATGTTTGTTATCCTTACGTTTATCTCTACTCTATCTTTTCTTTTTTCATATATATATATATATAATATATTTTTTAGTATATACTGTCATGTCGTGCTAAAGAACAATCCCCCTTTAAATATTAGAATATGCATTTAGTATATAGAATTCATATTAGTATATAGGGGTAGAAACGGTGTGCTCTCGCTATAATCAATCGAAAATTAATTTAAACGAGTCATTTTAGCTGATTAATCGTTCGCGAACCTTGTCATCTTAAATACAACAATCCTAAACTCACCTGTATATAACTCTCTTTCTCTCATTATTTTTCTTTATATCATCTCACACCATTTTTTTTTCTATCTTCCTACATTCGTTAGAAACGCGTCTAATTGAAAGAAAAAAAAAGAATAAGAAAATAATTACGAAGTTTTTTTTTTTTAAAAAAAAAAGATCAGCATACCTAGAGCACACCGTAGTGTCGTCGTAGTACCGATAAAAAAAAAAAAACCGAATCATAAAAAATAGGAAACAAAAAACAAATCAAATTAAAAAAGAAAAACCCTAAGAGAAAAGAAAAAAAAAAAAAAAAAAAAAAAAACCCTAAAAAAAAAAAAAAAAAAAAAAAAAAAAAAAGAACAACCCCCAATCAACGGGCCACTCTAACTACATTCTAATCGTATTCTTGTTTTCTCCGCCATCCCTCCTCATCTCTATCCGCCTCTCTTCAACATGAACACATTCACACTTTACTTCTACCGAACCAACCAACCATCTCTCTCGACGCTCTGGGGGCCCATTAACGTCATCGACCTGTACCCACCTGCACGACATTTCATCGTGATATGGCCGATCGTCGATCCACCTTCGCGATCGCGTCACGGAATTAACACTCGTACACGATCAACTACTACTACTACTACTACTACAACTACAACTACAACATCTACAACTACAATCTAACTACCGATGACTACAACTATACTATCCACACGGATATCTATACATATATATATATATATATATATATATATATGTATATATTCGTATATACATATATATAACAATGAATTTGAATTTTACTATTATCCCATATTTATTCTCGATTAAATGAGACCATCAAAAACTAACAACAACAACAACAACCAACAATTAAATGAAACACTAACACTATATTACGATGACAACCATTACAACAATACAATTATTTTAACAACGACTCTCATCCACTAATACTACAAACTACAAATTACTACTACTATTACTACTACTACTACTACTACTATCTACAATTACAACAACAACAACAACGACAAATCGTGTCACGCGTCACGCAAAAAAACCATAACCATGCCACGTGCATCTGTTGGTGGTACATGCGTGGGCGAGGAAGGACGGAAACGACGGCTTGGATTTGGGAAGAAGGGGAAGTCGTCCTTTACAGTTCACAGGAGCGAGGAAGTCCTACCGGAGGACACGGCCAGCGGTAGGAGCGGAAGGCAAGCGAGCTCCGCGAGCAGCGATGGCGAGGGAAGCGGCGACGGGGACAGGTCCGTCCATCGTCCCATTAAACCGTACTTTATCTCCTTTTTTATTATTATTATTATTATTATTATTATTATTATTATTATTGTTATCATCCTCATTATTATTATTATTATTATTATTATTAATGTTTTTTTCTATTTCTATACTTATATTTCTTCTTCTTCTTCTTTATTTTATTTTTCCATGTACTACTATTTATCTTTACTCAATTGCCATTTTATACTCCCCCCTCACCCTCCCCCCTCGTCCCATTAGTTTTTATTATAACCAATCCTAACCATTTTTCGTATTACCTCGATCTTACTCTTGCTATAATCTTTCTATCTTTCTATCTCTTTTTATCTTTTTATCCATCTTTAAATTGTATTATTTTATTTCACTTAACACTCTTATTGTGTGTGTGTGTGTGTGTGTGTGTATGATGTTTTAATTTAATCTTAATATAATCGTATATCTATTTATCTATCTATATCATTTTATTTCTTCTATTTAAGAAATATCTCTTCATTCGTGTCATTTGTTATTATTTAATTTCTATTTAATGTAGTTTTTTTTTCTCTTTATTCTTTTTTTTTTTTTTGGTTTTATATGTATATATATATTTTATTTTATTTTACACCCAATAGCTCCCTTCCAAATACCCCTCCCCTTCACCCGCCAAACCACCCAACTATTTTTGATAGTATTCCATTACGAATTTTGTCCCCATAGAATTGCTCGCGTGCGGGAGCAACGGACGTAGGATTCGTGATAGAATAATTATATATAAACAATTTGATCGATCGATCTATTTTTATCT